CAGATTTGGTCATCGAAGATGCACTTTCAGCTACCAAAATTTTGGTCACCAAAAAATTTTATTCTCGCCTTAGGATTTTAGTTCCCTGCGCTAAAAATGACCACTTTTAGCGACTAAACTTATTTTTTAGTCGGCAATTGTAGACTTTTGGCTACTAAAATTTTTTTTGGCACCAAAAAAATTATTTTGGCTGCTAGAATTTTTTTAGTCGATAAAACCCATATAATCAGCAACCAAACTTATTTTTAGTCGCCAATTGTAGACTTTTGGCTACTAAATTTTTTTAGTCGCCAAAAAGTTTTACTTTGGGCTACCAAAAATTTTTAGTCACTAAAACCATATAATCAGCGACCAAATTAGTTTTAGTCGCCAATTGTAGACTTTTGGCTACTAAAATTGTTTAGTCGCCAAAAAGCTTTACTTTTGACAACTAATGCTGTTTTGGTCGCTGAAAGTAGCTTTCAGCGACCAAATTTTTTTGGTCAGGAAATTTAGTCGCCGAATATACTTTTTCTTGTAGTGTATATTGAGTTTAATTCATTTATTTTTAATCATTTACTGCATTTTAAAAATTTTAAAAATATATTGGCATTTTTTGTTTTTTCAAAAATGTCATTATAAGCTTGGAAAGTTTTTGGCGTAGTGGCATTTTCTCAAAATACTATAAAATATTTGTTTATGACACTTTCACCTAAGTGCCATAAAAAGTAATTTGCACCTACCTAGTGTCCTGACATTTTTTTAAAAATGCCATTGCAACTAAAGTTTAGTGGCATCTGTTAGTAAATGTCACGAACATAATTTTTTGTATCATTATTTTATAAAATGTCAATTGATGTGACATTTCTTTATTGAAATGCCACTAGAGCCTTATATGTTTTGTGATTCTGTGGCATTTTCTAAAACATTTAATGCCAATTTTATTTTTGTGGCATTTTCTAAAAACATGCTACTAGTGTAGTGTTACTAAAGTGTAAATTTGTTATAGTGACATTTTTCTAAAAAATGCCACCAAATATTCTTTTGGTGACATTTTTTAAGAACATGCCACTAGTATGTGTCCACTAAAATATGTTTTTGTTGTAGTGTTGTGACACTTGTTCATTGAAATGTCACTAGAACCTTTTATGTTTGTCGTTGTGGCATTTTTTCAAAAACGTGCCACTAAATATTATTTTTGTGGCATTTTCTAAAAATATGCCACTAGTGTAGTGCCACTAAAATATGTTTTTGTTGTAGTTTTGTGACACTTGTCATTGAATGTCACTAGAGCCTTTTATGTTTGTCGTTTTGTGGGCATTTTTCAAAAACGTGCCACTAAATATCATTTTTTGTGGCATTTTCTAAAAATATGCCACTAGTGTAGTGCCACTAAAGTAGTTTTTATTGTAGTGATCGAGTTTTTTTTTAAAAAATATTCTTACAATAAAATAATTTAGAGAATTAACTGATGAGTGGAGTTTTTTTTTTTTATTTGGGAAAAAAATTTAAAAATTAAGATTTGAATATCGAAGTTAGTAGGATTTAGATTTTCAAAATAGGGTTTTGGTTTTCAAAAAGGCTCAAATTAAATGATGATGAGGTTTGTTTTTTAAAAAAAAAATCAAAAAATCAAAAAATTTAGATTGACATATTGGAGCTCTCACAGGCCTTGGGGGTTAAAAACCCCTTTTGCTTAATATATAGTATAAACTAGCATATTACTCGTGCTATGCACAGATTTGTTTACAATTATCTATATATGTGAATTGTGATTTTTAATTTTTTTTTTAAATGTCTTCTTTTTTTTCTTTTTTATATTATATTAAAATTTAATATTTTGATAAAAATCATATGTGTTGGACTCTTCAAAGAATTAAATGTCTTCTTTTTTTATTATATTATATTTAAAGTTTAAAATTTTGATAATAATCATATGTGTTGGACTTTTCAAGAAATTTTTTTATACTTGTTCTTAATCATTAAAGTGTTATTATGAGGGATAATAATCATATGTGTTGGGAATTTTCAAGAATCATTTTTATGCTTGTTGTTAATGCATTAAAGTGTTATTATGATAGTAAGACTTGGGAGTTTAGGAGATTAATAAATGCTAAATTTTTTTTTAAAAAAAAAATCAGGAAATTTAGATTGGGAGATTGGAGCTCCCACAAGGCTTGGGGTTAAAAACTCACTTTTGCTTAATATATAGTATAGATAATAGATTGCATTTTTAACATACGATTTCAAGTTGAAATTGCATATTGCAAATGTAATTTTCAATTTAAAATTGTATTTTCAAAATCGATTTCAAAAAACAGATTAGTTTCCTAAATAGGTTGAAAAAGGGGTCAATTTTTTAAATTATTTTTTTTTAAATATTAAAAAAAAACTCTGTTAACATCAAGGTTTGAGTTAATTATTCTAGTAAATTACAATTTATTCTGTTAAATATCATTTAAAAAATATATATACATTAAATATCAATTTAAAAGTTATTTGGGATGATTTAAATAAGTGTACTATTTAACTTTTATAAAAAAAAATAAGCAGAAAAATAGAGAAGTAATATAACCCAAAAAAAAATAAAAAAGATTAAAAAAAAAAGTGTACTAATATTCAACCAGCCAAACAAGCCTTATCTATATATCTTAATATAAATCTTCTTTAAATATTCATTATATTAATTGATAGAAAAATGGGATAATTATACCCCAATAAAATTTTAAAAAAATAATTACATATTAATAAAAAAAATTATAATTATAATTATAATTATTAATATTTATAAATTTTATCATTAATTAGGAAAATTGACACCTATTTTATACATCATATATCAAATATTGAAAAATGCTTAAAATGTTCTCATTATTCTAGTTCCGTTTGGGAAGAAAAAAGTCAGGCTTCTTTTGGCTAAAATAGTCAAAAAAAAATAGATTTTTTAGTTGAATAAGACAAAACATCACGTTCAACCCATAATCATTACATTCTTTCTCTCACAAAAAATTTTAAAAAATCAAAAGTCCTTCCCAAACGAGACTTTTTAGCCTCAGGCTAAAATAGTCAAAAAATTTAAAAAATTAAAAAATTAAGAAGGTAAAAAGCCTATCCACTTCCCAAACCAACCCATCTGTCTTCTTTCGCTACTTTTTCTTACCAATCTAAGCAGAGTCATTCATGACTGCCTATATTGTGATTGCCATGCTTCTGTTATGGGTAAAAGAAAAAAATATATATACATTTTAGACATTCTACAATATTCATATATAAGTCATATGTCAATTTTTCATTCATATGTAATGGATTGTTAACAAAAAGTTCACATTAAAACAAATTAATAATTAAAAGTGTCAAAATATTACTTATTTTTTAGTTAAAAGTGGAAAATTAATGTTGAGTGATAATTTAAAAGGATGAAGTGTAATTGGCTTTCACTATTTTGACTCATAAGATTGAGTTGGGCTAAGTTGAGATTTTGATCCTGTTTATTTTTCGGATTGGTCTTGGAATGAGAATTTTATTTTGGTCTAGCCATTTATGTAATATTATTTTGCAAAATAAACTATAAAATGAAAAGATAAAGTAAAATGCTTCTTTTTAATGTTTAAATTAAAACTTTTGTTAAAAAAACTCAACATTTTATGACTAGATTTTGGCTAAATTCATTTAAATACCTTCTAAGATTTTTCTTTTAAAAAAATTTGAATAATTCATATATACTGTGTTAAGTGAACGAATTTAATGCTTAAATTTTTTTCTAAAATTAATGTTGAGAAGATTATGTTAGGCCCAATATCAAGTCGAATTAGGCTTAAATTCAATGTCGAGTTAAGGTGAACGAGTAGATGCTAGCCCGGGCCGCTCCTAATTGTGATACCATTCAAAAATTACGATTACAAGCAAGAGTGTTCACTTGTCATCTTTGAAAAAATTATCAAACGAATCATTTTTGACAGATTGAAATTTTTTTTAACCCATATGAATAGTTTCAAATTTTGTGTGTTTCCAAGGGCAGCTGTGAATACTTAAGCCAAAAAAATAAATAAATAATTTTTTTTTTTAAAAAAAAGGACAACTGTAATTAAAATATTCAGAAATTTGGAAACATCAACATAAAATATGTATATATGTATTTGATTTTTATTATACCCTTTACATTAATTCAACATCATATTTTGTTTTTTTGTTTTCAAACAAACGAGGACGACCATAAAGAGAGTCGCAGATCTCGAAATCTCCGTCACAATATTAAACTATACAACTGTTATATTATAATGTGCTATGACGAATTCGATGACGCATATCTGCATAGGTTCTTGGGCAAGGATCATCTGTTATGAAATTTGTTTTGTCCTATCTCAAATCATCAATTGATTTTTTGTTTTCATTGATGATGCTTCTGATAGACAGATTTGAAAAGTAAAAAAGAAAAAATTCTGTAAACTTGAAAAAAAAAATGATAAATTATATTAATGGTCCTTATATTTTATTATTTTATTATTTTGATCATTACACTTTTAATTTGTTCAATTTTGATCTTTAATTTTAGATTTTATTTCAATTTGATTTAATTAATAATATTGTTAGTATTTTAGAAAAATTATCACTAAATTAGTTTAAATTAACTAACTTGAGTTGAATAAGTTTATAATTTTATCTTTAAAAATATAGCACGTGATACTTATATGTATATTTTTCATTAAAAAAATGTTAAGAATTTTAATTAATTTGATCAAATTGAGACAAAATTATAAATTCGTGATCAAAATTAACTAATCGAAAGTATATGGACTAAATTGGCCAAGGAATAAAATACAGAAATTGCTATCCTAATTTGTCCAAAAAATAATTACTAAAGACAAATAAAATTTAGAATAAAATCACCTCACCTTTTTAAGTCTGATTTTAAACTCACACTCTATATTTTTAAATTCTCGCATTTTAAGATTCTTAAATAATTTAATGATTATGAATGACTTTTAAGAATAGAAGATAGACAATTTCTGGCGGCGTTTCCTTTCCACAAGCAACAGGCCCCCACAACCATATATACCAAAAGAGTTGTAGCATTCATATCTATACTTAGAAAGTTCATTGCTCTGTGTTCACCTCATTGAGAATTAGCCATGGCTGATGTGAAGCTTTTGGGTTCACGGTCAAGCCCGTTTGTGAACCGGGTTCAAATTGCCCTCAACTCAAAATCAGTCAACCATGTGTTCCTAGAAGAGAAATTTGGGTCCAAAAGTGATATCCTCCTCCGATCCAACCCTGTTCACAAGAAAATACCGGTACTAATCCATGGTGACAAGCCCATATGCGAGTCCCTCATCATTGTTGAATACATTGACCAGGTGTGTTCCTCTAGTCCCTCTATCCTCCCTTCCGATCCCTTTGATTGTGCCATTGCTCGATTTTGGGCAGCTTATGTTGATGATAAGGTATGACATTCATCTTGATAATTTTTTTTTTTTTTTTTTTTTGCTTGAAAAAAAAAAAAAAAAAAAAAAAAAAAAAAAATTGTAGTGAAATTTGTAATTGGTAAAAACAAATGTACTCCAAGGTCATATTTTGCTCTATTACCCACTTGGAGCTCATGCTAGGCCCTCTTATGATAAATTTCGACTCCGTTTCTAATGCCAATGACATAAATTTTGTAAAGCAGTTTCCTTCTTTTTACCAACTTACCATTCTATGATACAATTCAAATGGTTGTAGTTGCCTTCGTCGATGAAGCAGCTTCGGACAGCACAAAGAGATGATGAGAGATTAGCAGCAATAGAGGAAATGGTTGGGGCTATGGTCTTGATGGAGGATGCCTTTGTGAAGTGCAGCAAAGGGAAGGGTTTCTTCGGTGGGGATGGTATTGGGTACCTTGACATGGCACTTGGGTCCTATTTGGGGTGGTTGAGGATGGTGGAGAAGACAGTCAATGTGAAGCTACTTGATGAAACCAAGACTCCAAGTTTGGTGGGTTGGGCTGAGAGGTTTTGTTCACATGATGCTGTGAAGGATGTTATACCAGGGATTGACGAGCTTATGGAAGTAGTGGCAATGCATAAAGCCATGGCCCAAGCTCAATCTCCCAATTGACCTTTGTCTTCGTATTTGGATCCAATAATTCTACGGACATAGAACCAACCACAGAAGATAAGAATAGTCATACATGTCTGATGGTGCGTGACACGGTTGGTGCAGTGGTGAAAGCATCTGACCTTCGAGGTTGTTCCCATGTATATTTTATGTGGTTGATTTTGTATCCATAGAATTATTGATTTGGGTCACTTTCCAATCCAATAATTTGGGGAGCCTTTGTTGTGAAAGATGATTTCTTGGAACTTTTTTTTTCGTTTTCTTTTAACCTTTACCTAGTATTTGCCTTTGTAATTTTATACTAAATCGTGGAGGGGCTCTCTGAAACTCAACAACAAAAATCATGTGTTTTTGTTGAATAATTGACAGAGGATACACAATTTTATTGAATAGAATGAATTTGGCATGTTGATCTTGTCTTCTATTTTTTATTTATTAATTTATTGTTTTTTGGTTGCATAAAGATGTGTTCCAAGACATAAAAAAATCATTTGTCATTCAAAGTAGTGCTGCAGTCCTAGCAAAAAAAATAAAAATAAACAAAGTAGTGCTGCAGAAACAAAATACTTTACAATATAATATAATTTTTTGTATAGTATAAGGTGTTCTTGAACTTCAAGTCAAACCTTTTATCTTATCTTATGTGACTGTGTGCAATGGTTATTTCAATTATTGAGTCCATTTTAATTTATTTTAACAACCTGTATGAGGGGAGTAAGGGAATAGGAAACTGTAAGATTAAAATTCTAGCATTAGGTCTAAGATTTGAACAATAACTCAAGTGGTCATGAGAGGGTATTTAATTGTCAATGAGTCGGGTTAATAGAATGACATCAACCCGCTGTGTAATCTAATTTTACTAACATTCTATCGTGTGATTTTACTAACATTCTATCATGTGCGCCAAAAAAAAAAAAAAAAGAATGTTCGTGGAAAACCAAAAGAAAAAATGTTGAAAAAAATCACCATATATAAAAGGGGAATAGAATAAAAGCCCAATAAAAATAAGTTAAGAAGCCCACAAAAGTCCAAACCTATTGGTTATATAACCAAGCTAGCCTAAGTTCAATAAATTTACTTCGGGCTGGGCTTGGACGAAGAACATTGGCCCTAGAGGTCGAGCCTGCGCTGAGTCCGAGTAGATCCTCACGGGAGATTCTATTTATCCCCAAAAAGTCATTAAGTATTTCTAATTTCTAAGTACCCTCAATTTAATTATTTAAAATTTTATTTTATTCTGATTATATCCTATTATTTTTTTTAAATTACCTTCAAGGTAAACTCAAATAAAAAAATAATAAACAAACTAAAAAAATTAAATTATTTCAAAAACTTTTCAATACATAAATAATTTTCAAATAAAGAAGAAAAAAAAACCAAATTTATAAGCACATAAGCATTATAAATACATAAAAAATCAAATTTTTACATAAGTATTATAAAACTTTTCAATAAAAAATTAAAAAAAAACTTTTACATTATAAATTATCTACAAAAATGCTCATAGAAAGTTAAAAATCAAACTTATAAACACATTAGTATCAGACATTAACAAGAAAGAGTAATTCTCAAATAATATATTATTTAAATGACAAAATAAGAACAACTCCAATAATATGTTATTATTAATCTAACTACTAAGTCATTTAATTTTTGTCAAAAAACGATATATAAAATAATTGATGGTACTCTACAAAAATTGTGAAACCCTTTTATATGAATATTTATCTCATTTTTTATAGGTTGCTTCAAAAAACTATTTTGATTATTACTCTCATCCATTATTTGATTTTGTTCAAACTTTCTTTTAGGGTTTAGGGTTTCAAAATTATAAAAAACAATGATGTTGATGTCACGCTCCAAAATTCAGACAATTAAATATTAAATTAGGACTAAACCTCAATCAATATTCCATCATCCAAATCCTAGGGCATGAAACAAATTCTTAACGTTTTCGCATCCATAAGGTTTAAGTAAATTTTCATCTTCAAAAGATTATAAGGGATAAAAAAAACTAACAAAATGTTAACTAAACCATCCACCATAATTTCATAACTAACCAATACCTCTAACATTAAAGTAACAATAAATAGTCAAAATAATTTAAATAATGTAAAGTTACAAACCATACCAAATTATCGAAATACTAAGGTCATAAAAAAAATTAATAAATACATAAATTAATATCAACCCAAAGTAAAAAAAATTAATAAATACATAAACTAATATCAACTCCAAACTCAATAAAACAAAAGAAATTCAAGTGACATATCATACGATCATGGTTATTTCTTGTCACCACCATAATCCCAACTAATCCTGCAAAGAAAGTTCGGCTGTGCTCAAATAGAACGCATCCGAGTTGCCAAGAGACAAAACAAGTTAGTATACAGGTATACTGGTATGAGTACAAGATATAACACTCACGTGTCCATCAGACACAAACAAAAATACATTTAATTCGTGTTACGGGACAAGACAAGTAGTTTCATCCACACCAAGATGAATGGGTAGTTTCTCGAGATACGGTGGCATTTAGTTTCTTACCCATACATAACGAAATATAAATTGAGTATAAAATAAACAAAATAGAAATAATAATATGGTGGGTCAGCCTTACATAAAAAAAAATTAGTAAGACCTACCATCCTGCAAAAAATAAAGTTAGTATAATTTAATTATAAGTAACTTGCTAAAAAATTATCAAAATGCACCGTTTTATGCTTAAATAATTTGAATTGACCAAAACTCAAACAACAAAAGTTATACAAAATCAAATTTTCTAAAAGGTTGTGCGAACGAATTTAGTAGAAACTAAACATATTGAGATAAAAACTTAATAGAAAATCTTAACCGAAATTCGATCAAAAAATCTAGAACTGAAAATGAAAAAAAACTGCTGTAAAATGATTTTTTTCAGAAAAGTTCAAAACACGAAAAATGTTCACAATAATGTTTTACTTTACTTTACGCGAAACCAATAAAAATAAACTCGTTTCGTGGGTTAAAACAGCCTCTAAAATCTATATTGCTAAAATGAATCAAAACTACTATAATCAAGACCATCTGATTATAAGTTCTAATCGTTCTTTTTAATAAAAAGTTAAAACACAAAAGTTGTCTAGAATCACGTATACATGCCTCTGCTCGAATTTCATAATTTATCGAGATTGTTTACTATTTTTCAGGATATACAAATCAATACAATTCACACTATACTAATAAACTCATAATTAAATTCTTTGTACCTTAACTCCATCACTTCGGCCTCTACTTCCGGCCTACACATATATCTCATATGCCTCTTGTATACCTAACACCACTCCGAAGCCAAACTTGCACAGGGATATCGTCCCAAGTTTGACCCACACTCCCTGGATGGTTAGGTACGTACATGCGTAAATCAAAGCATTCGTCTACTCTTGAGAACGAGGCAACAATATACATATACAAAACATCTCACTCATGAAAACACCATAATAATGCCAAGCTTAAAGTATTCAAATAAATCTCATAATCCTCATTTTTTTTTATACACTTTTTCACACCAACACTCAAATAAAACGACAATCCATGGAGTCATGGTAGAGTGTAAGGAATTTATCTATGAGTTCCTAATTTATTTTAATTTCATATATTCATGAGTGTGATTACAATCATAAAATAAATACATATAAAAACCTAAACCTTACATACACATCTAACCAAATAATAAAATCAATTCATCATCTACATGCAAATACAAAATCAAACCAACATCAAATAAATAAAAATAAATAAATAGAAACAACGAATCAATCCAGCATCTAACCAATATCTATGGATTCTAAATTTATTTCAATTTCATATAATTATGAGTATGATTATAATCATAAAATAAATACATAAAAAAATTCTAAACGTTGCATACATAACTAACCAAAACAATTAAAATCAATTCATCATCTTCATATAAATACAAAATCAAACTAATATCAAATAAATAAAAACAACGAATTAAACATAAATTAAGAAAAATGAGCTTTGTACTCACAATTATTTTTTAAAGATCCACAAGTTATTTGAAGAATTAATTAAACCTCCAAAATAAAACTTTAACCCCTTTCTTTTCCTTTCATTTCCTTTCATTCTTGTCTCTCTTTTCACACCACGCGTAGCACAACACAGCACTCTTTGTTTTTATTTCTCTCTGCCTCTTTCACGCAGCAGAGCATTTTTTTTTTTTTTTGGTTTTTTTTTTAAGATCCCTGGTATTATGATTTTATAGCATAAAGGATATTTAATATTTTCATAATGTCTAAGGTCCCTCAACATTGATCTAGAGAAATTTCAATCTAGAGAAATTCCAGCCCAGAGAAATTCTATTCAGACAAATTCTGGGCTTCCAAAGATTTTCTCTTGGTTCAAGACTTTGAACATTCAAATTTCTCTGGATCCATGGACTAACATTAAAAAAAAAAAAAAAAAATTCAATCCAGAAAAAACTCAATCCAATTCAAAGAATTTCTCTGGTTCAAACCAGAGAAATTCAATCAAAATCATAGAAAATTCAATCTAAATCAAAGATTTTCTCAGGTTCAAATCAGAGAAAATTCAATCAAACTCTGAGAATTTCTCTGGTCCAAATCAGAGAAATTCAATCAAAATCATAGAAAATTCAATCTAAATTAAAAAATTTCGCAGAGAATTTCTCAGGTTCAAATCAGAGAAAATTCAATCCAATTCTAAGAATTTTTCTGGTCCAAACCAGAGAAATTCAATCAAAATCATAGAATTTCTCTAGACTTCTCACTTAGAAATTCTCTTCAAATTTCTCTGATTTGCAAATTTCTTTAATTTTCTCTGTGTTTTGAATAAAACAGAGAAAATTGTGATTGTTTTTCTAAGAAGCATTAGTAACAAAGAATATATATATATATATATATATTCAAACCTGATATGTATAAAGTTTGACATAGATGAGCGGCATCCTCTGATTTGCATTGTTGTAATGCTTCAGAACGCTGTACATAGTCTCAAGGACATATTCCTTGACCAAATTCAAGAAAAGCTCGTCTTTACTTCTTGTAGAAAAGAAACAGTGCTTCAAAGAAACCACATTTGGAAAAACTGCTATACAAAACTGCACTGAATTTGATTTTACAAACATTAGCGGCAGGGTCTGGACTTAAAGCTACAGTTATATAAGCAATTATTCGTGTAACAAATATCACATACAAGCCTAGTAACCCAACCAAGCA